TAATATCGATCGTCACCGAACGTTAAGCATGCGGACCCTACGGGTTTGAGAACTATGTAGACATGACCGAGACACGTCTCCGGTCAATAACCAATAGCGGAACCCGGATGCTCATATTGGCTCCTACATATTCTACGAAGATCTTTATCGGTTAAACCGCATAACAACATACGTTGTTCCCTTTGTCATCGGTATGTTACTTGCCTGAGACTCGATCGTTGGTATCTCAATACCTAGCTCAATCTCGTTACCGGCAAGTCTATTTACTCGTTCCATAATGCATGATCCCGCAACTAACTCATTGGTCACATTGCTTGCAAGCTTATAGTGATGTGCATTACCAAGAGGGCCCAGAGATACCTCTCCGACAATCGGAGTGACAAATCCTAATCTCGATCTATGCCAACTCAACAAGTACCATCAGAGACACCTGTAGAGCACCTTTATAATCACCCAGTTACGTTGTGACATTTGGTAGCACACAAAGTGTTCCTCTGGTAATCGGGAGTTGCATAATCTCATAGTCATAGGAACATGTATAAGTCAAGAAGAAAGAAATAGCAGTAAACTAAAACGATCAAGTGCTAAGCTAATGGAATGGGTCAAGTCAATCACATCATTCTCCAATGATGTGATCCCGTTTATCAAATGACAACTCATGTCTATGGTTAGGAAACTTTAACCATCTTTGAATAACGATCTAGTCAAGTAGAGGCATACTAGTGACACTATGTTTTTCTATGTATTCACACATGTATTATGTTTCTGGTTAATACAATTCTAGCATGAATAATAAACATTTATCATGAAATAAGGAAATATATAATAACTTTATTATTGCCTCTAGGGCATATTTCCTTCAAGGGGATGCCTTCCGGGGAATCCTCAAGCTTAGGCCTTTGGTTGTCCTTGAATTTTACCTTGGGGTGCCTTGGGCATCCCCAAGCTTAGGCTCTTGCCACTCCTTATTCCAAAATCCATCAAATCTTTACCCAAAAACTTGAAAACTTCACAACACAAAACTTCAACAGAAAATATCACGAGCTCTGTTAGTATAAGAAAATAAACCACCACTTTAAGGTACTGTAATGAACTGATTATTTATTTATATTGGTATTAAACCTACTGTATTCCAACTTCTGTATAGTTCATACCCCCGATACTACTCATAGATTAATCAAAATAAGCAAACAACACAAGAAAAACAGAATCTGACAAAAAACAAAACAGTCTGTAGCAATCTGTAACTTTCGAATACTTCTGTAACTCTAACAATTATGAAATAAATTGTTGGATGTGAGGAATTTTTCTATTAATCATGTGCAAAAAGAATCAACCTAAAAACACGCTCCTGTAAAAAATGACAGATATTCTCGTGAGCGCAAAAATTTCTGTTTTTTACAGCAAGATCGCAAAGACTTCACCCAAGTCTTCCCAAAGATTCTACTTGGCACAAACACTAATTAAAACTTAAAACCTCATCTCACCAGAGACTAGATTAATTATTTATTACTAAACAGGAGCAAAAAAAAAGAAAAAGAAAAATGGTTGCCTCCCAACAAGCGCTGTCGTTTAACGCCCCTAGCTAGGCATTGATAAATTCAATGATGCTCACATGAAAGACAAGAATTGAAGCGCAAATAGAGCATGATGAAACACATGACAAGCACATATAAGTCTAACATACTTCCTATGCATAGGCATTTTATAGGCAAACAAATTATCATAGCAAGCAAAAACTAGCATATGCAAGAAAGCGGAAAGAAACAATAGCAATCTTAACATAACGAGAGGTAATTTAGTAACATGAAAATTTCTACAACCATATTTTCCTCTCTCATAATAATTACATGTGGGATCATAAGCAAATTCAACAAAATAGCAATTACAAAACATATTCTCAACACGATCCACATGCATGCGAACTTGACACTCTTCCAAAATAGTGGGATTAACATTAACTAAAGTCATGACCTCTCCAAACCCACTTTTATCAAAAATTTCATAAGATTGAACATTCTCAAAATATGTGGGATCTAAATTTGACACTCTTCCAAACCCACTTTCAATATTACTGAACGGAAGAAGGGCAAAGAAAAGGCAAAGGTTTTCGAAAATCGTTTTAGAAGTGGGGGAAAGGAAAACGAGAGGCGAATGGCAAATAATGTAATGCGAGGGAGAAGAGTTTATGATGGGTACTTGGTATGGCAGGACTTGACGTAGATCTCCCCGGCAACAGCGCCAGAAATCGGCAAGTTGACGGGAGATCAAATCTTATCTTAACTTGGCGAAAATCTCCCCGACAGCGGCGCCAGAAATCCTTCTTGCTACCTCTTGAGCTTGCATTGGTTTTTTCCCTTGAATAGGAAAGGGTGATGCAGCAAAATAGCGTAAGTATTTCCCTCAGTTTTGAGAACCAATGTATCAATCCAGTAGGAGACGACGCACAAGTCACCTAGTACCTGCACAAACAATCAAGAACCTTGCAACCAACGCGATAAAGGGGTTGTCAATCCCTTCACGGTCACTCGCAAAAGTGAGGTGTAATAAAGATAATAAAGTAAATATTTTTGGTATTTTTGTTGTATAGATTGGAAAGTAAAGATTGCAAAATAGTAAACGAGATTTAAAGAGATGCGATGTAATGGAAAAGAGATGCAATATAATAAAAAAAGACCCGGGGCCATAAATTTCACTAGTGGCTTCTCTCGAGATAGCATGTATTACGGTGGGTGAACAAATTATTGCCGAGCAATTGATAGAAAAGCGCATAATTATGAAGACATCTAAGACAATGATTATGAACATAGGCATCACATCCATGTCAAGTAGACCGAAACAATTCTGCATCTACTACTATTACTCCACACATCGACCGCTATTCGGCATGCATCTAGAGTATTAAGTTCCTAACATATTTGATTACCTGTAATACTAGATAACAACTAGTATTTGGGCCGACCCGAGATATCCATTGGGCCAGCAAAGCCATGGGCATTTTAGAAATGGGTCAACCCGTGGCCTCATAAATTGGCCTTGAGGCCATGAGGGCCTGTTCCAAGGCAAGGGTCAGGTCGGCCCGTTCCCATCCTGAGCGGTGATGGATGATGGATGGTGATAATCAACTGCCATCATTGAGTTTTGACTTTGTATAAACTATAAAGCATCATGAAAAATATGTCCCAAAAACATGCAACATTTTATGTTGGCATATCTTTGCGGTCCAGAAAAAGTAATTTTGACTGAGAAAAATGTAAAAAAAGGTTCGACTATGACTTCAACGTGTACTGCGGGTTAATTTACAAAAAACAGAAGGGTTTTTTGTAAAATGGTGTGACGGTGAACTGACGAAAACACTCCATTCTTTATTAGTAGATATATATATATAGATATAGATATAGATATAGATACAGATACAGATACAGATATAGATTGATAGGATGATTTAACCGAACAGATGCCAAATGCCACCAGATAAAGCTATGGAAACGTTTCGAGCCGGCGCACCGGTCGAACTTTCCACCGGTCTCGTACGCCACGCTGGCTCACGCGATACGGAAACAACCACCCCGCACGAGACACATGTATATGGTGGGTCCCGCACGGCTTTTCCTCCTTTTCTTCTACCTCCAGCCCATCACGACTCTGCTCCTCCACACACGCCCCACGTTGGTCGCATCCTCCAGAAACTCTCTCGCCGGCGGCGAGTGCTCGCCTGCGACGGCGCCCAACGCCGCCTTTCCTTCATGGCCGGCGAGCCCCTCTTCCTTCTTTCTCCCCAATTCGTATCCCTGCTAGCTCCCCACGGCCATGGCCTTCTGCAACTTTCGGATCTCAGCCATGGCCTCCGCCCAACTACGGCTCCGAGTCGCCGCCGGCGAAGTTGTGGGAACTGTCAGGCGCAGCAACTAGAGTTGCAAGCCTGCAACCACGGGCACACGCTGAACGACGAGGACGGGCGGCGCTGGTCCTAGCAAATCTAACGTCGCGGTTTTTTGCTACATGCTTCAACCGGCATAACATTTTGCTACAACCGTCATAGCATTTTGCTACAACCACGTCACATTTTGCTACAACACACAGCCAGCGTCGCAGTTTTGCTACAACTAGCGTCGCTTTTTGCTACAACCGGCATCACGTTTTGCTACATCCAGCACGACCGAGCTGCAACCCGCGACGGTGAACGACGGCTTTTTGCTGCAAGTGTGGTAGGTTTTTGCTACATCCGGCAACGACTTTTGCTACATCCATTCTTTTTCAAGATGCAGCGCCTGCTACCTGGCTGGCGTCGGGCTGCAACCGACGGCAACAAGAGCTGCATCTAGCGGAGCTGCAACCGGTCACTGGTGTTGCCGAAGCCGTGACCATCACCAGCGAGGGGGAGCTGCAACCCACCGGCGAACTTTTTGCTACATGCGTGGATCCGGCGAGATACATGAGACAAGACGGCGGCGACCGGCGGCGAGTGCAGCATCCAGCAGCGCGGAGAGCGGCGGAGAGAGGGGGCGCAGGTGAGGTGGTTGCTGGCGGGCCAGGAGGACGTGCAGGTGAGCAGCGCCCGCGCTTCATGCGGAGGGGAAGAAGAGCAGGGGAAGTCAACGCATAGATCGGAACGGCTCCTCGCTGGATCGTACGGTTAGGGCTGGACCGGCCGAACCGTTTGGGCCGGCGCACCGGCGCCTAGCGTCGCCCATAAAGCTATCCATCATGCAATTCAAGTGCTAATGGGATGTTACCCCTAAAAAAAAGTGCTAATGGGATGTCAATGATACACTGACCAGCACCAACGGGCCAAGAGATGTAATGTCAACGTTTTACCGGATTGATCCAAACTTGAAACAATTCTCTTGAAATTTTATCCAAACAATCCATCAATGAGCAATCTCGTAAAAGAAAAAAAATCCATCAATGAGCAGCACGAGTCCGTGATAGCGTATATTACCACGTTCATCAGTTACATCTCTATGGTACATCGGCAAAGTTGGTTGACGCCTGGCTCACTAGTTCATCTCCACTACTTTCGCCTTGTCTTTCGTGGCGGTGTCTTCGGCTTCGACGGGCGTGTCCGTCATGCCGAAAAGCTTCCCTATCTCCTCCAGCGGCAGGCCACGCGTCTCCGGAATGAAGGTAAAGAAGAAAACCCATCCAAGCGCCGCGATGCCGGCGTACAGGAAGAAGCTGCCGCCGATGGTGATGGCCTTGGACAGGGACAGGAAGGACATGGAAACCGCGGCGCTGGTCACGCGGTTGCATGACGCGCCCAGCGCGAAGCCCAGCGCGCGCACCCGCAGCGGGAAGACCTCCGAGGTGTACACGCTCGTGAGGGGGCCGAGGCCGATGGAGAAGAAGGACACGTATGCCAAGATGGACACGATGCACAGGCCGATGGCCCAGGGGATCTTGGCGTCCGGGTGCCGACCCACGACGGTGAGGCCTGTCCCGAGGCCGATGAGACAGGCGAGCATGCCGGCCGTGCTGGTCAGCAGCAGCGGCCGCCGGCCGACGCGGTCGAGCTGGAACGTGGCCACCAGGATGAAGAGCGTCTTCATGACCCCCATGGCGCATGTGGCGCCGAGCAGGTGGTTGTCGCCGGTGATGCCCGCGCTCTGGAACACGCGTGGGCTGTAGAGCACGACCGAGTCGGAGCCCGTCGCCTGCTGGAAGAAATGGATGCCGAGCGCCGCGAGCAGTATGCGCCGCATGGCTGGGCTCGGCGAAAAGATGAGCTCCTTCCACACCTGCTTCTCCTGGCCGCCTTTTGTCTTAGGCATGACGACCACGTCGCCGTCAAGGTCCCTCGGGATGCCAGCGGCAGCCTTGATCTGGTCAAGGCGCTCCACGGCCTCCTCTGGCGTGTCGGAGGTCTTGGCCAGCACGGCCCTGGCATCCGCGAGGCGTCCTTTCATGACGAGCCAGCGGGGCGACTCCGGCATGCCGAACACCATGAGCGCGAGCAGGGCGGACGGGACGGCGCCGATGCCGAGCATGACGCGCCAGCTGAGGTGGAACGGGAGGCGCGCGAAGGCGTAGTTGGAGACGTAGCCAAGGAGGATGCCCACATTGATGAACACCTCGGTGAAAGACGTGAGGAAGCCGCGGGCCGACGCCGGGGACACCTCGGCCGTGTACACGGGCGCGACCATGATGGCGTAGCCCACGCCGATGCCGGTGACGAAGCGGCCGACCATGAGCATGGCGTAGTTGACCGCGAAGCCCATGAGCAAGGAGCCGGTGGTGAAGATGGCGGCCGCGAACACGACGGTGACGCGGCGGCCGACCCAGTCGGACGTCCTCGCGCCGAGGAAGGACCCGATGAGCGCGTACACGCTGAGGATGCCCATCATGATCTCCAGCTGCACGTCCGTGATCTGCAGGTCCCTCTTGATGTACAGCGACGCCCCGCTCATCACCCCAACGTCTGGGCAGTCGGAACAGAATTATGCATGGCCCAAGGAAGAAGAAGATGCGTACTCTATCGACATACAGGAAGGAAACAAAGCATGTGCGTACCGTATCCGAGGACGATGGTGGCCATGGAAGCGCAGAGGGCGCAGGTGAAGGCGTACTTGAAATTGCCCTTGTTCCTTGGCTGGACTGCCTCCGCCTCCGGGAGCGCAGCAGAAGCCATCCTCGATCCTTCTTCCTTGCCCTCCGCTCCTCCTCTTTCCGGAGACATTTTCATCTGCTTAGGACGAACTGATCGTTCGATGAACAGACTGACTGACAGCCTAGTGATGACTGAACTGCCGTGCTGTGTTGCGCAGTACATATAGCCGTTTAAAAAAAAAAACGGGTGCACCCGCCATGGACATGGGTGATGGGTCAACGAGGTCGCTTGCCCACTTATTTTAATATGCAGTAGATTAGAAATTTAGCAGCTAGCATAAACATGTTGCATGATTTCGTTGTCAAATTGCCAGTGATTTCCGACTGCCAATCTTATCTTAGACTAATACTCCCTCGGTTCGGAATTACTTGTCTCGAAAATGGATGTATCTAAAACTAAAACACGTCTAGATACACCCATTTTCGCGACAAGTAATTCCGAACGGAGAGAGTAGGAAGAACGTGGCCCAAAGAATTATCAATTGATCATGTGGGTCCTATTCAGGACCTTGGTCACTGATGACGTGCCGTGGACCCATAAGCGCTGGCTACATCCCTGCGGTGCATGATCACCCGGGGTCGCGTCGAGACGTACAGTCATCTCCGACCTCGCCGCAAGATGCTTGGATACGTTTCGCTGCCCTCTTGTCCGCTCTGGTATGGCCAAGCAACCCGGATGTCCACTCAACCTGTCACGACGTTGAAACTTGGACTGCTAAAAATGGTGTCGCTGTTTCCTTGATTGTCTGGATCACTTTGATGCTTACTGCCGCACGCGCGCTTAAACCTTACGTTTCTGGCTGGGTACGCACGCTGAATTGCTGGCTGCTGACTTTGGATTCAGGCTGCGGGCAGGATTGTCCTACCACAGTAGCTAGCAGCCCGCTCAGTCCTAGCATGTGTGCAATAGCTAAGAGTATCTACAGCCATGGACAGTAAGTCCGGACCCTTAAACGCCCGTGGACACACGGACAGTGATTGATTACATTTCAACTTTGCTTCTCTGCATCTGGATATCTCATGCTTGCAACGTTAAATCCATACAATGCCGGGCTAAGTCGGAGGTGTGTTGGCCTTGGCAGTCCAACATCAACCCACACAAATCCAACACATGTGAAACCGTTGATTTGTTTTACATTCAGCGGTTCTGAGTGTTCCCTCGTGAGGGAGCAAAGAGAAAACCCTACCCACTCCATACCTGCTGATGGTCGCTGCCATTTTTGTGTGAGTAAGAGAACATACAACCTGCGAGAGAGATGAAGAAAAAGAAGCGGAGGTCCTGTTCAGATTTGTTGCACCTGACTAGACATAGCATATGACACGGTCGATGGCTTGGTCTAACTAACCATGGAGCATTGAATGCTAACCGGATAATATGGATTCGGAAGGATCTGGTCGGATCCGACATAGTCGGATCCCGAGTTGAGATGAGGTCTGAGTCGAACATACCAAACTATGAGATGCAGCGATGTGTATCGTCAATGAGTCTCTAGTACAACATATGTTTTATGTCCTAAGACTTGAGCTGGCGCATGTACTCGGAATGGTGACAGACTTGCTTTGGGCCTATCAAACGCTACTCCATGATTGGGTGGTTACAAAGGTAGGTTTCGGCCTTGTCCAGACCCATGCTACGAGACATGGTCAAGCAAGATGGGATTTGCCCCTCCAATTAGGAGAGATATACTCTAGGCCCCTCGTGTGATCTGACCAAGATAAGCATGGTCATAAGACAAGAATTATGAGATAATTCGGTTTGTGGTCGTCATCATTGAAACGAGAAAGAGGCCGGGCTAGCACAACGATGACAGACTCGCCTTGAGCCCGACAACATATATCATGTGGAAAAGGAAACAGAAGTGTGACGTGTAGTACAGGTTCGCCAACCGGCTTCATTGTCTACTTGGTGGTCAGCATGCTTTGCTAGAGGCCGCTACCAGTTGAGCAGATCGGAGGTGATCCGACCTACGACCAAGCCGACTTGAACCTAAGGGGTCGCGCGCTTAAGGGAGGAACCTGTGAGGCCTGATCCGACTCCATGAGTCAGATGTGATCCTACTCGGACTCGGATCCCGGCCGAACAGATTTTGGCCTTTAGGGTCCGTGCGAGGCCCAAGTAGCCTGCGACGGACGCCTATATATGGTGGTAGTGCGGCACACTCACTCGGTTGATCACTTTGGCGCTGTCACTAGGTTTTGCATGTGTTGCGAATAGCCACCTCCTGTCGCCGCCAACTGTGTGATCGGACTTAGCAGTCCAGCGCACAGTGTTTCTTCTGCCCGCGCGGATACCGTTAGAGGCAGTGCACTTGCGCCGCTCCGGCGAACCTGTACGTGGGATCCGACAACCGGTTGTTCGAGGGAGATCGGACGAGGAGGAGACGATCCACGCGGATGCGCTGCCCCAACTCTTCTTCCGCTGCACAACACTGTGCTTCTAGAGGTACGATCTGTGATCCATCTCTCGTAGCATGTTCTTGGTTGTTCTGCACGTAGAAAAGTTTTAATTTGCACCCGATGCACCCTACTATAGACCCAAAAAGGGCAACCATCTTATTTGTTTAGTACCACATGGCGGAGGTATGCTCAAAGGTTAAAGGTGATCGTGGATATAAGAGGACGGCTCATACGGGAAGCGCTCGCAGCTGCATCGTAGCTTGTACGCATACCTACAAAAAGATTTTTGGTATAATTGAAAACTGAATCAAATCAGTCTTTTTCATTACCAAACCAAACTGAATCAGTGGGTTAACGAAAAATAGATATGTTGTATTAGGATGATATTTTCGGTTTTTAGGTTTACTAACCAAAATAAAAAACAAATGGTAAAAACCAATTTATTAGGGTTAGGGTTTAGGGTTTAGGAGATGGCATCGCTCAGGTCGGGCGCCTGTTGGGCTTGCCCAAGCGTTCTGGATTTGAAAAATGTTTATCGATGGATGTTCATGGATTAGATTTTTTTAGATCTAAAAAAAGTTCACTATGAAAATTTACATTTTTTGAGATATTGAAAAAGATTCTCAAACATGAGAAAAAGTTCACAGATTTGAAGTTTTAAATTTAAAATATCCACATGTTTGAAATAACAGAAAAAAGAAAGAGGAATAATAATAATAATATCCATAATAAAATAGAACAAAACCCGTTTTAAAAAACTTGAAAAACCGACCCGAAAATTTATAAAGTTACATTTGCCACATAAGAAGCGGAAAAGCAAGCAAGTGTTCAATATATGTTAAAACAATTATTCAAAATGTTAGTTCTTAAGTTTGCAAGCTCCTCATATCTCAATAAAATTATTCAAAATATTTTAAATTTTGTTTGAAAAAAATTCTTAACATTTTGAACTAACATATCTTTTTAAATTTTTTGAAATGTTCATGCTTTTACAAAATGTTGTTCAAAATTTTCAAAATATGTTCATGCTTTTAAAAAATGAAATTTTCAAAATGTATTCAAGTTGTTCGAAATAAATTGGATTTTCAAAATGTGTTTAATTTGTTCAAAAAATTGTTGGATGTTCAAACATGATTCAATTTTCAAAAATATTCAGAATTTCCACCAGATGTTCAGTTTTTTTTTAAAAGTGTCCGCATTTTACATGGTTGTTACTCCTTCCTTCCCCAATCTTAGGCGTCTAACCTTTTCCAAACAACCCCGAAATCTTAGGCGCCTAAACCTCTCGGCCGCAAAAATCTCTCTCCGTACAATTAGCTAGTTCAAGCATGTGCAAGATGCGAAAAGAATTTCACATCTGTGAGAGCGATGGCAGAAAATTTTGTTATTGCATGTGACCCAAAGGCAATACTAAAGAAGGACGGATGGAGAAAACCACCTAATGGCTTTGTTAAGCTGAACGTAGATGCCACCTTCGACTATGACGCGCTACATGGAGCTATGGGAGCAGTCATTCGAGACGACAGAGGTCATTTTATTGTTTCTGGGAACAAACTAATAGAGTCGTGTTATGATCCTCTTTCTTCAGAGGCATTGGCTCTTAAATTTGGTTTACAACTCTCTTCTTCGGCAGGGTGTAACAGGCTTGTCGTTAATTCCGACAGCCTAGAATTAATGGAGATTATGACCAAGGACGGTCAGTATGCGGGGAATGCAGCAGCCATGATTGATGATTGTTACCACTTGGCATGTGAGTTTAGTTCAATTCGGTTTGAGTTCTGTCCTAGAGAAGCAAACGCTGTTGCTCATGAATTAGCTAGTGTAGCTAGATCTAAATTCTGCAGTGAGTGGATTGAAATGGCTCCTAATGAGCTTCTTCCTCTTTTACTTAAAGATGTAAGTGTTATCACCAATGAATAAAGAGGGAAATTTAGTTGTAAAAAAAAAGCTGGGTGCGTACTCTTTTTTTTTTTTGCGGGTGCGTACTCTTGGAGCATGTCCATGCGGTTAGTCCATGCAGTTTTGCCTCACCTTCGCGCTCAATGGAGCTGGCCTGTTCCCTGTTTTCCAGGACCGGTCAAGCACTTTTTGTCAGATGAGATCGTGGTTGAATCCTGTAACCAAACGATGACTCAACAGCCGTATGCTAATTATCGTGCAAAATTAGGCGCCTTAGAAAATGTGATGTGTCAGTACTTTGAATCCTCATTCTTCATAAATATAATAGTCAGCTCAATTGGGGAGCCACTCAATCCGGAAAACCCTATGCGCCGCTCACTGCGTCAAATTGTCCACAGAACGCACAGGCATACCCCGCATCGCTAGCAATGGGCCAGCCCATTATACGAGAGCTAGCCAGCCGGTTTTGGGAACCTTTACCTGAACCGTTTTTTCCTTTTTAGCGGTTTTCCTATTTCTTCTTTGTTTTCTTCGTTTTTCTTTTTTCCGTCTTTCTGTTTCTTTTCTTTTTTCTGTTTTCTGTCTGTTTTTTCGTTTCTTTTGAAAATTGTACGGAAAATTCAAAATTTGTTCGTTTCAAAACGTTTAAAATTCCCAAAAATATTCATGTTTTATTTTTTTCATAAATTCAAAAAGGTTCGCATTTTTCAAAAATTGTTCCGGCATTTCAGAAAATGTTCTTTTTTTACAAAAATTGTCCGGGCATTTCAAAAAATTTTCTTGTTTTACAAAAATGGTTTGAAATGTTTTTGTTCAACTTTTCTACAATTTTTTTAAAAAATGTTCCCGTTTTCAGAAAATGTTCACAAATTCCAAAATTTGTTCATGTTTTCATTTTTTTCAGGAGTTTCAAAAAATGTTCCAGTTAAAAAATTGTTCACAAATTTCTATAAAATCGTGTTTGCAATTTTTTTTCAGGGATTTAAAAATATGTTCACATTTCTAAATTTTGTTTTGAAATTTGAAAAAATGTTCTCGTTTCAAAAAAAATGTTCAAGATTTTGAAAAAAATGTTCTTGTTTTGATAAAATGTTATAGTTTTTAAAATTTTGTTCACAAATTTTGGAAAGTGTTTGCGTTTCACAGAACATTTCATTTTTTGAAAAAAAATTGCTTCCGAAATTCCTAAACTGATTCGGATCTGCGCAGAATGTTTGGTTCTTTAGGATCGATGCTACTCTTAAATCAGCTACACCTGCTAGCTCAGTTGGTAGGAACTCGTCATGCATAGATGTGCGTCATGTGTTCGAATCTCGGCAACGCATATATATTTTTTAGCCTCAGCGTGCTTTCGATTTCGGTTTGCTCTCTTCATGGGCCGACCCAGTCGAAGCCCCTCCTGTGTGAAATGGCAGCAACTTGACGTAGAGAGCGTCACATAGGAGGTCTCACTCAATCCCACGAGAAGAGGTCCGTGGTTTGATACCTAATGGGCGCATGAGTTTTTACATCCCGGCCACGCTCTCTACAGCGGTCACCAATGGGCCGTCTGGGCCTCCCAAAACGTACGACGTATACTGGCTGGCCTACCCACCAGGTTTAATCCAATGACGATGATGGAGCTCCGCGCCGAATGCCAGACCATTCCTTATCATCCTCCACATGTCGATTTTTGCTTTAGCTGGTGCGTTGGTGTCCCA